GCTCCATCCTCCAAGCCAGTAATTGAGCAGTGAATCCTTCTCAGGCTTCAGATCGATTCTCAGGCTCCAAATCGATCTGACATCCTCTTCTACTACAACTAGGGGAAACTTTTGCCTCAATTGATAAAGCAGAAAGCAATCAAGGAAAATGTCAACTTCGAGCACATACACAAAAACACACTCATACACACACACACAGACACCACACTTACACACACTCAACTCACATACAAAAAACAAACAAAAAATAACAAAAAAAAAGTCTACTGTGGCAATTCAGAAAACATAAAAGCTTTGGAATGCAGTAATGACAAGCAAAAACTAGAAACAAAAATTAATTCAAAGATAATGTGCCTTTTGTAACAGATTCTATGTAACTTCTGTTAAAAGAAAAATAAAATGTATGTATCTTGGAAAATAGAAAATGCCATAAAAGAGAAAGTTGTCAACTATTTAAAACCTTTGTATTAAACATACTACATTTTATTCTTTGTATGGCTAGAATATACATGAAAAGTAATAATATGAATACTTGAAGTCCTCTGTATAGATTTTACTATATCATATAAACAAACTCAACAGTTTCCCATAAAGTTTAGAGGGGCTGTTTGAAAAGCAATCTGGCTTAATATACAACCTTATTGGGTATATTTTAAAGCCCTAAAGAGATCTGTTTTCCTTTAAACCAAGTTATATATAGTATATTATATCTTATCAGACCTTGTCAAGCTCAGATTTTTATCTCTTTAAAAATTTTTCCAGATAGAAAAACAGTTGTCTACTTTCCATGAACAGGGTCCTCAGTAATGAATGAGCAGTGCAGGAAGAGGAAAAAACCACAGACACCGATGGAAGTCATCTGTGAGATCCCACACGGATGCAAATGCTTGAAACTAAACCTCTACAGGAGGGACAGCAGCAAATGGAAGGCAGGCTATGAGACTGAGATACTATGAGCTGATTAGAAACAATGCTGTCAAACTTGAGCATTGAATCAGTTAAGCTAAAGAATCTAGTATTGTTTCCCAATCGGTATGTGTCTCTGTGTCTCTACCATCAAGCCTACTCATGGCTAATCTGATGTTCCAACAGGAAACACATGCTAGATCCAACTTATACAGCTCCCAAAGCTGCTGTAGTCTTTATTTGCAGAACAATAGGCAGAAGCTCATCATTCAGTGAAAACAAAATAGATCAATTGTACTTTGGGCCCCGTGAACTCAGAACCAAATGCCTAACTCTTCACATCCAAATGTTTCCAAATGCCACTGACTATCCACTTCACTGTTATCTTTACAAAGTCAAGTAAACTCCAAGCAGAGCACTAGTGCTTAATTTATGATCCTAGTGTTTCCCTCATGGGCAACTTTAGCTACTGTGATCCAATGTAAAAAACAGCAGGGACATTCATATGTGAACCAGAGAACAAAATAACTAATGATACTCAAAGAAGCCTACTTTTAGAAGGTTAAAGACTAAACCTCTTTATTTGTTATAATCACTGAGCTACTGTCATGCTCCAACTCTGTTGAGATGATATGCAAAGGAAATATATATATATGTATGTATCACAAGACATGCTTTGAGAGGAATCTAATATCTCTCTGCCCCTGGAAATGCATCATGCTTACAGTGCTGTAGACCCGACAGTAAAATGTGAGCCCCAAGAACCTTAAAACTGGATTTGTACATGGTGGATGAAGTGAAGTAGCTCTGGATTAAAGCATGAGCTCCAAGTCAAAGATAAAATACACTTTGAAGTATACACTGTGTCAGGAGGGAAGATGCATTGAAAAGCCAAAAGGTTCAATTAAAAAATATATACAGAACTTCCCAGAGACTCATACTCCAACCAAGGACTATCCGTGGAGATAACCTAGAACCCTGACAATGCAGCCACTTCTGATGAGAACTGATAGACTAAGATCAGAAATAAGGAGAGGAGAACCTCCCCTATCAGTGGACTTGGGGAGGGGCATGCATGCAGAAAGGGGGGAGGGTGGGACCGGGAGGGGAAGAGGGAGAGGCTTATGGGGGGATACAAAATGAATAAAGTGTAATTAATAAAAGTTAAATATATATATACAGTTGCTGAATATTTACTGTGTGTCCAATACTGTGCAAGGCACAAGGGCTTTAGTGATAAGACAGTCATGCTTTCCCTTCTCTCAACAGCGAAGCCTGGACTAGAGCATGAAAACCAGGACTCCAGTGGCAGTTCTAAGTTAGCGCAAACTTTGTACACTGACCTCAACTTTGCCAGAGCCAGAAGTTGATTTCTCCCTTTCAATACAAGTAACTGATAATAATATTCTATCCAATAATAGAGTATCTGATGCTATTGGGAAAATGGAAACCATGGATGCTGTGTTTAAGAAGTCGTTATTTTCTAAAAGCTAGAGGAGTTTGAGAAAATTCTCCACTCCTGACATTAAATGCTACTTATTTGACTAACAAAGCTGGAAAAGTTGGTGTCTGACTTGTGGGGATTCTGTAGACTATACACAAACTACTGTTGCTTGCAGAGAGACATACTCAAATACAAAATAATTTTTAGGAGTACAACTAGGCCCCTTATCCTTACCTATGATTGATGCAAAATTACATACCTAAATACATTACACATTAATTCACTAATAGTGAATCCTGTTCACAGTACCAACTCCCTGCATAGCCAGTGGTTCTAACCACAACTGGTATGTACTTGCTCACTCATTTAACTAATATTTTATGATCTCCTACCATGAACCACATGCTAAGCAATGAGCACATGGTCTTGGCTTCCATACCCCACCATGGTACTCCCTCCCTGCTAAGCCTCTAGCATATCCAACGCTTTCTCAGTGGGGTATAAGAATATTGCCGGTCACTTGTAGAACCACAAGTAGAAACATTTGGCTCTCTGGAATTCTAACCAAACTTCACTGAAATCACCTACTGTTTCCACAAAAGACTGGGTTTTCACACTGTTTTCTATTTGTTCCACTTCCCTCCTCCCTTCCTGAGCATCTGGATCAACATTTCCATACCTAGCCCAAATACCCTACCTTGAATCCTCCCAGATGTAAAGTCCTTTTTGGAATCTCTCATTGTTTTCCTTTTTTTTTTTTTTTTAATGGTACTTCACCTAGTCTACCCAATAAAGTGCATGCCATGCCTATTTTTTGTTTGGTTGATTGGTTGGTTTGGTTTGGTTTTTATTCAAGACAGAGTCTCACTATGTAGCTCTGACTATCCTGCAACCACGTAGACCAGGCTGGCCTCAAACTCACAGAAATCCAACTGCCTCCACTTCCTGAGTGCTAGGATTAAAGGTGTGTGTCATTACACCCATCTGCACACATCTTTCCCTCATGTTATGTCCCCTACGTGTGCACATGTGCAACACACACCTTTGTTAAACACTAGTTCAGCTGATTGTGAAAAAAAAGGGGGGGGGAGCTGAGATCCCTTAGGCTTACTGTGTAGGTATATTCAGTGGGGTGTTTTGTTCCTACTGTCTTGGCTTTCCATCCAAGTGCATTTTCAATCTATGCTTAAAATTTTACTTAAGCCATGCATGGTGGCAAATGTCTATAATCCCAGCACTCTGGGAAGCAGAGGCAGGTAGACCTCAGTGAGTTTGAGACCAGCCTGGTCTACAAAGTGAGTCCAGGCCAGCCAAGGCTACATGAAGAAATGCTGTCTTGAGAGGAAAAAAAAAAAGTATCTATCTTAAAGAGAAACTGTACTAGAGAGCCATGGTCTTCTGGGGCTATGAAGCTCTGATGCTGCATACAAGATTGCTGTATTGAGAGTTTTCACTCTGAGAAGGGATTAAGCAATATCCACCTAAGCTCCCCGTGGGAATCCAACAAGTTTACCAGGTGTATGTACTGAGTAAGGATTTATTGTCAGGACCACTGGTAAACCCAAATCAGTCACACCAAAAATATACACCCAGCATGAATTTACCCATGATTACACAGACGGAACCCCTTCCCCCTCATCACCCCTAGCCCAATACACGAGCCCCTTCCCCAGACCCTGAAGCCACATGCAATTAGGGCAGAAATCTAACTAGTTGGAAGGAATAGCTGATAGTCACATGGACCTCCTTCCATAAGGGATGGCCAACAGTCAATGAACTCGGCAGCTACCATCTCTAATCACCATGGCCATAGCTGAACCCATGGAGATGGTGGCAGTTTGGATTGGAGGGCAGTCCTGGACAACATACGCTCATGTACATTTTTCAGAAAAAGGATCCATGACTTTCCTCGGGTGCTCAAGAGAACTCTAAGAACTATTACATGCGCAACAACTGTAATGGTGGGAAAGGAAGCCCTCCCACTTGGTACTGTTCTGAGGTTGATAGCCCTCTTAGGAGGATCCTGCTAACGCCCACACTGTGTTTCCTGTGTTCACTCTTCTGCTCATTTATCACAGAAACTGAGTACTCAACAGTATAGACTATTAAAATTCATATTCTCAGAACTTGATCTTCCACTCATGAACGCATCAAGCCATTTTTTATGTTAAAAAGCGTGTAACTACAGGAAACATGTTCTCAAAAAATAAAAAAGAATCGAAAAGTAAGTAATTTAAAGGTATGTAGTGTTTATCATGAATACGTTCCATAGGCTGGGAATAGAGCTCAGTGGATAAAGAGCTTGCCTACCATGCATAAGGCCCTAAAAATCAATCTTCAGGAGTAGAAAAAAACAAAACAAAAAACAAAAACAGTACTTTTCAACCTACACACACAAATAACGCACTAGGGGGAAAATGCATGTTCTAAGACAACATGAATTTATTAATGTTCATTTAAAACTATGCATGAGTTTTGTCAGAGAGTGTACTAGGTTCATTCCACCTTAGAAATGCCAAGTGGCTATATCTAAGTTCTGTTCATAGGACATGCTGAATCAAACAATATGATCAATTCAATCCAAAGGACATCTTTTAAAAAAGAACATGAGTACTTAGCTACAAAAGAAAAACCAGTCAATTAAAAGATATCATTTTAAATGGATCATATTTATTACAAAGAATCAGCACACAATCAAAGCTAAATATATTCTTCCCAGGCATATCAAATGTAAGCAAAATAATGTCAAAAAATTAACATTACTAAAAATCTAAAACATTTTTATGAATAGTATAAACACCACATCATATTACTATTTGACAACAGGAAACAATAATGAATTTTTGTAATTTCTATTAAGGACAAACAGAAAATTTAACAACTTTATGTAAATCACAAATTCTAAGAGGTGATTCATAAAAAGGGTCTCTTCAAGAATGTGCAATAACCTCTTTCCAATGCTTCAGCAGCCCATTTGCAAACCAAACATAGCAACTTTGGGACACACTTCACCTTTTGCTTCACCTTCAAAAACTATAGTTGGGCAATTACGCAATACAAGTTGCTTCAATTGTGCATAATTTTTTAAGTGGTAACAATTCACTAGCTCTTTTCCCTTTTATTGATTTACAAATGTCCATGTTAACAATCAAATATGTACAACATTTTAAAGGTAAAAATAACAGTTATGTACAGCTTCAAAGATCACATCCTAACCACAGAGAACTCTCTCACCTAGTGAAAGAGTGAGAGTATTAACCACCAGCTCCTGTATCAGACCAGGGAGGCATCAACAGGACATCCACATTTTTTGTCCCCTTTCAAAGGCTTTCAATTTTCTTCCCGTGTTTTCAAGTCCACCTAATTGTAAACTGGCAAGAGCTACATGAGCAATGCTTTATGCCACAAATCAAGCCTCTTCCCGTGAGTCTCTTTCTACCCAAAAGCTACTGCTTGTTGAATGCAATTTTACCATTCAGATAAATTGAGATGTATAGATCCCAGATACCTGGGCATGAAATATGCAAATCTGCCAAGAAAATTAGATATTTTTCTCCTTTTCTTTTAATATAACCCACTATATAATAGTGAACTAAATGTGTTTGTTTCATAGAAACAACTTACATTTGCCAGTACAGGGCAAATGGTCTATGTACAGATACATCAGGACTGCCTAACTGACAGTGAGTGTTGCTGACCAGGCTCCAAGCCATGGAGCTAGTACGGTGGTGCTCGCTGCTGAATGGACTTCCCCTTCAGGATACGCCGGATCTGGAAGAGAAATGGATTGTGAAGTTCATCTCTAATGATCAAAGTGGTACCCCTCCCTCCAGGGTTTCACTCCTCTCATAAACCTTCTACAGCACCCCTAACTTGTAAGCATAGCTGAGTCAACTCACCAGCCCTAAGAGTTTTAGCATTACAACTTTTACTGCTTATTTCATGTTTCCTGTAATGACTGTTGAGTGCAAGACAGTAAATCAGCTCCATTAAAACTGAAAATCAGCAACTAAAATAGGTCTGTATCCCCCTGCTAATCTTTACCACTAGGGCAGTCACTATGGTATAGAAGACCATCTCGTGTAGCGTGAAGCCAGCCAACCTCCAGTATCAAGAATGCAAAATCCCCATTATACACACTCAAGTGCATCTCAATGACTTCCAAGTCAAAACAGTGGCCAGAATACCCACATGTTAAAGCAACTGTGTGGCACCCTTCGGGCCCAGGAAAGCCCCCACAGTCATCTAGAGTGACAGATTTTGTATTCTGGTTGGACAAACTGGGGTATCTGCCTCTTAGCCCACCACAGATTAAAAGCAATAATGTAGAGGAGAAGATAGTGGTGGCTGCTTACAGCTGCTGAAGGGAAGCCTGTCCAGTGGACACAGCCTGGCAATGAAGAAAGGAGATGCCCCTCTCCATAACGGCACACACAAGACAGAAGGAAAGATGACAGCACCGAAGAGTCTCACACTCCTAGAATACCTCAGAGCACTGATGTGTGAAACTACACCACAGCAGGGCAGCAAACGCTGGGCTGGAGACCTCCATTTACTAGCTAATCACGGTTCCTGCCCTTTCTACACACTAATTCATTTTCTCAGTTAAACCTCACTGAAAAGTTTTTGTAACTTTTAAATGATAAAAATACATGTGAAAAACGCTACAAACTATCAAGTGTCTAAGATCCAAAGAACTCTGCAGACAAGCTACTACAACATTTTAGTTCTAATGACACCTAGGAATCAAAGAAAAAGCCAATCTGTATAAATTAATTTATAATTAATAGTATATTAATCATCTATTCACAGCTACCAATAGCCCTAATTCCCTCTGGGAAAAGAGGTCTGTAAAAATAATTTAAAAGAGTAAGATCTTACAGAGAAAAAGGTTACTCATGTGGAACTATGTAATCCTTGAGGATAAAATATAACCATCCTTAATAAGCACAGCACAATTTTAACATGTTCTAGGTACTTTTCCATCTCTTATGGAGGATCGGTTAGGAGACAGTTTTATAGAAGCTGATATTCACTAAGTAAGCCTTTACTGTGTGTTCCTGCACTATTTCAAACAGTCTTACACTGAATAGCCCACCTGCAGAGCATCAGCGGGCCTTTGCCCCTCCCCCTTCTGGATTTCAGACCAAAGGGCCTGAAGGAACCTCCACTCCCTCCTGCGGCCCTCACCTGTTCTCCCACCGGGCCATCGGGAACCAAATGTACGGGCTGCTCATTCTCCAAGTTCCGAGTGCTCGGGTCTGCTCCCTTCCTCATCAACAGACGGACTGCATCCAACTGTGTCACTCGATACTGCAGGCTGGCAGCAACATGGAGGGCAGTGTTTCCATTGTAAGCCTGAGAACAGATCAACACAATGGCACACATAAGGAAGGGGGAAATTCCCTCAGAGGAGCTCACAAGCCCAAAGGTGGGAAGGTCATTACAACGCGGGCAGCACCGAGGTTCTCTAAAATTACCTTTGCATTCACGAAAGACAGGCAGCTCGGCAACTCCAAAAAGAGACGAATGAGTTCCAGATTTGCTTCTTCCGCTGCCAAATGCAGGGCTGTGCGGCCACTTTTACGATCCTGGAGAAGGCAAGAAAGGCAAGAAGTGAGTATCCAGTTGCCAACCTTCAGAGCACCGGTTCTCAATCTTCCTAACGCTGCAAGCCCTTCCTTCATTCAGGACTATGTGTCGTGGTGAAGATAAAATTATTTCGGTTGTTACTTCATAACTGTAGTTTTGCTACTGTTATGAATTGTAGTGAAATTGTAGTGAGATGCAGCACATCTGATATGTGAACCCTGCGAGAGGGTGAGGGGGTTTCGACCCAGAGGTTGAGAACCACTGCAGGTTGAGAGACCGTGCTCTGGCCTTCTCTCAAATGTCTAAAGCAGCTTTAAAGATGCCTCTGCTGTTTCCTTCTTCCCAGAGCCTTCCTGAGGTCCAGGTTACATGGAAGCTCCTATTCCTCTTATACTCCCAGTTATTTTACCCACTTGATTCTCATCACATCCCACTCATACACAGAGAGGCCATTAAAGTGCAGACATGCAAAGCATTACTTTGTTATGTTATATCGAAGTCCACTGATTGTGTGTTCCTGTTTCCAGACTTGGCAGCCACCGTGTATTGCTATAATAGGAGAACATAGCCAGCTCCACAGGGACCTGTACCCACGTGGGCATCTGTATCCCAACGCATTTAACAAAATGTTAAAGGATACAGAAGATCATCAACAGATAATATCCAGATTTAAAGAGAATATTTTCCCTTTCAACATGGGGCCCGTGAGATGGCTCAGGGGATGCAGCGCACGCTGCCAATCCTAAGTAGCCGAGCTGAGTGCCCGAAACTCAGTGGAAGGAGAGAACCAACCCCGGTGGGCTAACCTCTGACCTCCACATCCATGTGGAGCAAAGCAAATAAAAATCTAACAAAAAAAAAAAAAAACAAAAAACATTTTCAAAAAATTAAAATTTAAAAAAAGGTAAGTTCCAGATCCCACACACACGCACACACACGCAAAAAAAAAAAAAAAAAAAAAAAAAATCATTCCAAAAAGCACCATCTTTATGGTGAGCACATGAAAATGGAAGCCAAGCAGCATCAATGACCAGCTTCTTTTCACTTTTAAACAAAGACTAATTTACTTCCCAGCTAAACAGTTTCGTCTGCTTGGACGACTCACGAATTAAAAAGACATCAAGAAATCGGATTAAAGGGTCTTTTCAAAGCTAAGCTTCTTAAATACACATGTAAAGCTACTCACTCCACCAATTTAAAAATAAGAGGAGGAGAGGAAGTAGTTTTAATCTGTGCTTACAAGCCAGGCCCCTGCCACACCCACGTTTCTCCTCACCCATCTCTAACCGCTACGGTGAGGTTACCTTCGCCTCCACTGCTGCTCCCATCTGAATCAGACACTTAATGGTGTCCACCAGACTCTTATTCTTCAGTAAGAGATCCTGCACTTCAGGCGAACGAGGCTGTTGATTCCTCTGCAGCTCATGGACCACAGCGTTGTGAGCCACAACGGCACAATGGAGGGGAGTCAGGCCTGCGGAAAAGGGTACCACGGAAGTCAAACACCCCATCAAAGCTTCCGGCCACCACAACTACCCTTAGGACGGTTCCTCAGTTCACTTAGAAAGGGTCTCCAGAAAACCTCGTAAGGCAATCCGTACCTAGGCAGTTTCAATGCCAATTTTACCTGTAAAACATTTAGCTCTACTTGCCTTCTCTCTTTCTTAGACCCTTGGAATCCATGGCCCCCTCCCCGCTTTCCATGTGGTTCTTTATCCAATGGAGTATCAGCTGCTTACCATCGTAGTTGGTCGCCTCAAGATCCACAAACTGATTGCTCCTCTCCGCTCCCTTCTGGATTGCCTGCGATTGTTTAAAATACACACCTGTTATCCAATGGTAAGGTACACAAATAGCCACTCACTACTGTGCTAATAAATAAAGAAATCAAACTGAACACAGATTATTTTAGCAAGCAGCCTACACGCAACCTCTTACATCCAAGCCCCATGGCCTCGGCGCTGTGGTGACTGCTTACCTGGAGCACCTGGGAGTGGCCCTTCTCTGCACACACGTGCAGAGGGGTTCTTCCCCAGCAGTCGGTGGTGTTGACCTGGGCACCAAGGTTCACCAGATCTTGCACAATGAGGTGCTGATTGGCAGCGACAGCCACCTGGAAGGCGCTCTGCGGACATTCAGAGAAGAAAGATGCGTTTTAAACCTGTAATGCTACCATAACAGGGAACATGAAAGTAAAAGAGGGCTGAGAGGGAATATCCTCGGACGGAAAACAGATCCTATTAATAAGCAACCAAATACAGAGAGGAAACTAAAATAAGCTCAGGGTGCGGCTTCATTACACGCAATCTTTGGTCAAACAACTGCAAAGTTAACATTAATAACTTCAAGGTTAACGGTGGCAAAAAGTCAACATCTCGAAGTTAATATTAACTGAAGTCCCTTGAGCTGGGGCTCTTAAGAAGTCTCCACGGGAGACTGGCCACCACTCACTTCAGCACCGGCCCATCTTAGCCACGCCACCGCCCTCACCTGCCCATTGTGCTCCTTGACGTCCAGCATGTGGAGGGCGTTCATCTTTCTTGCAAGGACGTAGGAAAGTGCTCGCCTCCCCTGGGCAACGGCAATGTGGAGAAACCTGGCAAAGAGGCAAGGAGAAGAGAGAGGGATTGCTTCTTCTGATGTCATTAAGCTGGCCAGAGAAAACAAAAACGCCCACCACCCTCTTTCTGATGTATTGATACACTCAGATGAGACACCGCAGAGGAGGAGAATCTGGCTTTTCTGACATGTTGGTACTCTAGCTGAACTGCAGCAGAATACAGATGAGGAGGAGGAGTACTGAACACCATACTGAGCACTGAAGACATTATTTTCAATGCTAATAAAAATTCTAGGACAGAAACATTACTATTGTATATGTAAAGAAACAGAGGCGTAGAGATTTTAAGTAACTTGCCCAAAGCTATAAAGACATCAGGACAGAGGAGGATCTAGCCTACAGACCAACTCCTAATGGATGGCTAGTCACGATCTAATTGTTTCTGCTCTAATCTGCATTAGTCTTCAAAACAGGTTATTCACAGAAAGCACATATTTTTAATTTAGGAGAAAAAGGTTTTCTTTCAAGAAGATAAAAGAAACATCCTTTCTTGAAATATGAATTATCATGGTGCCAACCACAAAGGTTCAAGGAGGACAGTATATGAGATAAAAGGATACTCACGTGTCGCCATCTGCATCCCTGGAGAGAAACTGGTCTTGGGAAATATTTGCCAATTTGCTTTCTTCCTGCTCTACCTGCCACTGAAAAAACGACTTCCCTAGCTGTGTGGTGTTCATTGGGCTTCCCAGGATGTTCTGGAGTGATGGGGAAGCACCTAAGGAGGGCGAGCCAGCATCGTGCACCCCGACTGCCTCACAGGCACTATTGGGCATCAGGCTAAAGTTCTGCAGGTGAACCTCATTTTGCGGTGGGACGATGGGGGCAGCCTGAACGGGGACAGCAACATTCTCAGATTCTCCTTGGCCACTCAGAAGAGACACGAAACTTTGGCCCGCGCAGAACTGTGGATCTTGATTATCAAAGAGGTTCGATTCATACTTCGGAGACTGGGCCGTTTGGGAATAAGGACTGAACTGCAGAGTTGGGTTGTGTGGATAGTGCTGTTGCTGCGGCGGTGGCGGGAGTGGCTGCTGCATGTTCTGGGTTTGTGGTGTATACTGGTACATAGAAGCCTGGTCCATCATTTGTGGAGAGCCACTGACTTGGAATGGTTGGTATTTCTGAGGCGGAGAGAAGACCTGTCCTCCATGGAAGTCCTGGCATTGGTCTCTTGGAGAGTTCTGTGGTACCACGGGGCTCATCCAGCTAACCTGGACAGTGTTCAGTGAAACTGGGCTGTACTCGTTCTTAATGTTTATAATGTTCTGAAGCAGAGCAGCACGACTCTCCAGCTTGGATTCATTGTGACAAACATCTTCCATGCTCTCCCCAGCTGCAGGTGTTTGGGATGATGTCTGGAAAGAAGGAAAAGACAACTTTCACAATCACTTCGTAGAAAAGAACTCCACGAGCTACAGGGTAGACTCAGCAGTAGGTTACATGGCTAAGCTTCAATACCAAGCACCAAAAAAATGTTTTGTTTTGATAGCAACACTATTCCACAGAGTGTTCAAAGGAAAATAGTGAGATGCTTACCACAAAGTGAGTAGGCAACAGAGCTGGCCTTTTGCAAACTGGTCCATCGGACGGAATATCAGTCCCCTTTCTTTTCCCCACTGCAGATACTGCACTCTTTAATTCTGTTCCCAAGGAAAGAATATGCAATCTGTGATCATTCCAACTTTCAAACTCCACCTAGAGCCACACTACGTCATTTCACTCTAAAAAGACCAATAAAATTATGAATAGAAGTAGCTCTTACCCGTGTGTTGCTCAGTGTTCGTGCTCTGTGTCTATAAGGGAAAAAGATTACAATTGAGTACACACAAAATGGCTTCTCACTCAGTAAAGATTTACCTCTGTGTCCTCTCTCTCTCTCTCTCTCTCTCTCTCTGTCACCATTTTTTACCTCCAGCCTATTCAATCCTGGTCACGGTGAAATAAATAATATTCTTTGCATCTGATTCTTTCCTCTGTAATCAAAATGTTCCACTTTGACCGAATCCTATGAATCTCCTTGTCCCTAAACTGTTTTCATTTGTTTTTCCATTTAAATTTCCCTTACACACCTGGCACTGAGCCAAGTGCAAGGAAAGCAGCAAATAAAACAGTCTGTCCTATGATCTCAGTCACTGCAAAGGAGTTACTGGATTTGGCTAGCTAAAATAAAATAACCTTGAACGACTCGCCTCCCACCCGATCAAAACAAAGAGCAGAGGCCACCACCTTAAACTCATCCACTGACTGGCCAGAAGTCCTCTGTTTGTTACTTCGGATATGCAGGAGGAGTTCCTTCACCGAGTTCTTCACTCGAACACCTTGAAATGGTCCTCTCTGCTGCCTGCCAACCCCCATATGGGGCTCAACTGTTCAGAAGAAAAGGAACCCATCTCAATTACAACTCTTCACAGTCATGAATCATCACAGCTCCCAAAGACTACAGCCTGATGGATAAAATCCTCAAGCAGCAGATTGCAAAGCCTTTCCAATGGCCAAAGCTTTTCCAACATCCTTTGGTCAATGGGTTCTCATCATCAGTATCCAGTCCTTCTCAAGGGTCTGTGTTGCCTGATAGGTTTTCCTACCAGGCACCCTAAGGAATTAAAGGGCTAGCAATTAAGGAATTAAAGCAGATCCTTGGGGCCAAGAGATACACCCAAATAAAGCCTCTCTGTCTCTCAGTACTATTTACTCATGAAATAGGATCAGAGTCTTTGCCAAGATTGTAGACTTATAATTATTCTTGACTTTGAGAAATCCTTGGAGGAGCAGAGTATAAATGAGGCATTTGTAGTTTTTAAAACAGAGTCTTTTATGTCCATATAGAAATCATAAACTACCTTTATTATCATTCACCTAATAGGGAACAAAACTTCCCCTAAAGATCTCAAGGTACCAAAGCTGACAAGCCAGCAACAGGGACTTAAGATTTCTTAGTATTTCCTTAATTCATTTGTGCCAAGAAAGCTGCTTAAATTCACTTAGCACATTTCCACATCACACACAGGATTTCCCCCTCACTCACTGCTCTTAGAATTACGTACATGGGCATTCTAAGTAAAAAGGAAACAGGCGTATTCACCTTAAAACTTCAGATGGCAGTTTAAAGTTTACTGTGAGGTACAGAATTCCACTCCTGGCCACAACTTTGTAACAAGCTCTTTCACATAAATTAAAGACAACATTGAGGGGATCAGGAAACGAATAGCTGTTCCAGTGTCCAAAGTAGGAAAAATTAAAAAGGAGAACAAAGCACAATTCGGCCATCCATACCACAGTATATGAGACACTCAGTGATGAGGCAATGAAGTGATCAGATAGTCTTTCAATTTAAACTCAAGGATTTCAACAAACACCTGAATAGCACTCCTCTGGAGTGTCAGGAGTTAAATTTTCCATGCCCAGGAAAGACGGGGGGGGGGGGGGGGGGAGAAGGGGGGGGGGGGGGGCAGCTTTAGGAGTCCCCCATGGCGTGTGTGGTAAACCAAGAACCAGCAAAAATCGGTTCAGCTAGATGTCAGCCATTTCGGCCTAACGACCTCAGAAAGGGCTGTCAATGCATACACACCTAACTTTTTAGCTGGACCATACACGACCCTGTGGTTTAAGGCACATCATTTTAAATTTAAAAATAACTGTTTAAAAACAAATGACACCCAAAGCTTGAGTGGCCAGCAATATTAGCGTAAAGAGTCGTTCTTTAAAAGAATTGCGACGAGAGGCTCTAACAGCTGAGACGGTCTAGGCGGTGTTAAAATCTACCCACGGCGGCATCCTGTTTTCCCCCAGAATTATGCAACTCGGTTCACCAAGAAAGGAAACCACGCAGTTCGCAGCTAAAGAAAGGGCTTCAGTAGATAGAACTTTCCCACTCTAAAGCACACAGAAAAACAAGACGGCAGAATTCCTAGCAGGCCTCGGAGACGCCAACACCATAAACTAAGTGCAGAAGCGGAATCACTTCTCCGACCCTAGCTGTCCTCTACAGCCTGATAAATTGGTTTCTTTTTCTTTTATTCATTCCTACAGATATATCAGGAATAGGTGGCGGCTTTTAAATCCAGTTCCCAAAGCTTTATATTCTCTGCTACTGCTTCTCACTAAGAGAGTTACAAGAAGAAAACTTCATCAGACCCAAAACCTCACCGTCGTATTTCTCAGATTGTCGAGTTCGGGGGCACGGGGGAAGTGAAAAAAGTAAGAATTGGGAGATGGGGGGGGGAGGGGGAGAATCCTAGACTCTCAAAAAGTTCTTTCCTCCCGAAGCCAGGCGCTCTGGCCAGCAGAGTGCTCGGAGCTCCAGCCTAAAGGCTCGGGACTCGGCACACAGTCAAGGGCATCCAGCAGTCACTCAGGACCACACTGTGTGTGTTCCGCGGCTGCAGGGGCCGCTTCACATCTCGACTAGGCGACCCCTCGCTGGGGAGTCCTGCCCCATCCTCCCAGGCGTGTGAACTCCTCTCCCCGAGGAGAGGATCGCGGAGTCCCCACGGGTGGGTACCTTGCGGGCGCTCGGCGCGCGCGCCACCTTTCGGGCGGGACTCCACGGCCCCGCAGGAGGACACGGAGGAAGTGGAGGAGAAGTCGGAGGAGTCGGAGCCGGGCGAGCCGGGCGCGGAGGGCACGGCGGACAGGTAGCCCGTGTCGCAGGCTCCGGGGGCCGAGGGCGGCGAGGCGCCGTAGAAGTATGCCAGGTTGAGCGGGCTGGTCATGAGGCCGCAGTCGCCGGCCGCGTCCAGCAGCCCCTCTCCGCCGCAGCTGTCGTCCAGCAGCTTGTCCACGATCATGCTCCCAGGCTAGACGCTCGGGGTCCCCAGACACCTGCGCCACCGGCGGGCTGCGGCAGGGCGACTCGTACGTGCGCGCCCGGAGGCGGCCGGGCTATTTAAGGAGCGGTGCTCGGCCGCCCGGCCCCTCGCCCCCCCGCCAGCCCCCGCGCCCCGCCCGCCCGGCCATTGGCCGCGCCTGGGCTGCTCGCGCCCCGCCTCCGGATGCGTCTAGTTTCCAGTAAAATGCCCGGGATGAGGCAATGCGCCCTCCGCCCTCGCCCCGCCCCGCCCGGGCGGACGGGTTGTTTTCCGGCCGCTCACCTAGAAACCCCGGCCGGCACCCGCGCCCTGGCCCGGCCCCCGTGCCGGCTCCGAGCCTCCCCGGCCGGACTGCGCTCGGCTCACCGCACCCCGTGGGTCCTGGACCTGCAACAGGACGCCTCTGCAGGGGCTGCGAACCTACCCCCCTCCTCGGGAGGGTTAGGGAGCTGCGGGGAGTCCCGGGCCCCCGCGGGAACGGGTCCGCCCGGTTCTGGGAGTGGAAAGCCCAAGCTGTGCGTGCAGAGTCCAGTCTCCTCCCGTGCCTCCCAGCACTTACCCGCCCCCAAACCTAGGAGCGTTTGCTTCCAAGCCAGGTCTTTCAGGCCAGGTCTCAGTTTCAAAGCGCTGGAAGTTTTTCTAACTTCCTATCTGGACCATAACCGAACTTTTTGTTGTTGTTGTTGTTGCAGGGTTCGAATAAAAAGCAAAAGTCCAACCTTTCGTACCCTTCAATACTAGAATAAACTCTTCCTAGCAAAATGATTAATGCAATACATGCACGTATATTTTTTGTATGTTTTATGTTGCTTTTTATATACTATGTAATGTTTTATTCTGCACAACTTTACTCTGTCTGATAAACAGGGATTTTGATGTTTCTCTCTTGAATAATTTTTTAAATGTTTATACAGCTGTTGCCACAAATCCAACTAGGGAAATGACAAGGAAAGTTTGTTTTCAAGGGTGAAAAGGGATGAATGATTAAGTCTTTAGTCCACAGGAATGAGGTTCGTACACACAAAAGAAACTGACTGTGGTTAAACATCATGAGAGATACAAAGTTCAGTGGACAGTCTAAAAAGAGAGGATGTTTCTTGTGGAGAGAGGAGGTCACAGGGAAAGTCTGCAAAGAATGAGGCTTTGAGGTGAGCCCTACAGGATGGCCCTAAAGGATTTTGGGAAAATCATCAGCAAAGAATTAAGGCCAGGAGTCAGGGAACAATCTACACTGCCTTTTAGGACTGCCGAAGGGAAGATAGCATTAAATGTAAAAGGTAACGTTAAGTGGAACACCTCCAGGGGCCAGCGAAGATACTGGAACTTCGATGCTCACTGAAGAAACATGAAGGAATTTGAAACAGGCAAAATGAATCTAGAAGCGTTTTTTGTGTTTTTTTTTTTTTTTAGAGGAGATAAGACTGAGGGTGTCCTAGTGGCCAGAGTTGATTGCCATGGCCCCAGAGAGATGACCTGACCTAGAAGGAACTGTGGCAAGGGGGAAGCTAAAAGTAGATAGATACTGAGTAATTAAGTGAATTGCACTACTAAGGCAGAATCCACAAAGCTGGCTCGGCTGACTGTGCTGGACAGAAGGGCAGCCCTCTGCTCTATAGCACTAAGCAGGCACCCAGCATCATTAAAGCTAAAACTGGTACCAGTGACTTCTTACTGCTCACACTCCTGTTTGTTTCCTGGAAATAGACAAAGATGGGGAAATGAGGGGATTTGATTCCCTAATTGTTAGCTCTTAGGCTCTTGCTCTGTGCTCAGGCAGCCCAGAGAAAAGAGCTGTCAAACAACTTGTGACACTCCACAGGGAGAGCTTCATGGCAGCCACACGCCGTTTGCTGCTGAAACACAACCCTGGCTTCTAAAGGTGCAGCCTGAGCCAGGACTGTCTCAAATGGCTTGCACCGGCCTTTCCCTGGCACTCTTTCCACCAAGGCCAGATTGAGGGCATGTCCCCTGGTGTAACCACAAGAGAGACTCCTGTGGCTGGTGTGGAAAGTGATAGGTGACTGGTACAACCAGCCCCTTTCCTCAGGCTGCCCAGCTCACTCTGGACCAGCTAGAAAACACCTTGTGTTTCTTCCTCCCCATTGTTACAACAACAGGCCCAGCTGAAGGCTTGTGAATGGTATTGCCAACTTGTGCTTAATTTTTAAGTTCGCATACAAAAGCAGTGGGTTTCTTTGTGGCATTTTTATACATATCTGTCATAATCTGTTCTAATTCATCTCTCCCCCACTCTCTGCCTCCTGTCCCCAGTGGCTATATAACCTCCTAGACCGTACTCCTTTCTGATTCCACCAGCCTCTCTCTATCTTCCTTTTAGACCTCTTTGTCTCCTGTCATAACTGTCTAACATGGGTCTGATGCTGTTTTAGTGATGGAGATTAGAAGACCCATCTCGAGGCTCAGATGTACGGTGTGCATCTAGGACACTGGAAAAGATGGAAATAATATATCAGAGAGCTCTGCAACTCATGGAAAGGAGACATTGTTCCAAAGTGACCTGAAAAAAAAAAAAAAAAACCCTTTCGCTTGGCTTCATAGATGTTAATAATTTACTATCTTGTGTTTTATACAACAGAACAGTTTGAACAGTTTTATGGTACTGGTTATGTTGTAACACCATTGTCAGACCAATAATTCGGAGTTCTAAAAATGGAACGGAATTTTTAAGTGCAAAGGTAATGAACTTAACACCGTATTCATATTTGAGATGGAAACACAGGTATCTAAGAGAATGAGCTGTTGTACTATACTGACAGAAGAGGACAGGCAAGAAGTTGGCAATTCCCCATTATTGATTTTGCTGACAGAAAGGGGGGAAAAGATCACAGCAGAGCCACTTTCAAATGACATGGCAGCTCAGCAAAGGACAAGCAGCTCTTGTGTGAAGAATTCCGCTGCTGCCTGAAAGAGGACAATTCTACAGACTATGCCCGCTATTTGTTTGCACTCACCCGATACCAGCCCATATCACATATCAGCACATTACATGAATGTCTGACTACAAGCGCAAGGGGGGCCGAGACACCTGAAATGTACAGTCTCCTTTCTGAATCTCAACACTAAATGCTACCAAAAAAAAAAAAAGTTTCACTTAAGAAAGTCTTAGATAAAATCATAGTGATCCTAAATTGTATTTATACTGATCCATGAAGTATGTATCACTTTAATCTTCTGTGTGGTGAAGAAGGCTTACATGCTTGCACTGTACCTTGAGGTACAATAATTGCCTTTAAGAAGAGTATTTGCCAGGCTGGAGAAATGGCTCAATGGTAAAGAGCATTAGCTGCACTTCCAAAGGACCCAGGTTCAATTCCCAGCAACCACATGGCAGGTCACAACTGTCTATAACTCCAGTCCCATGTATTCTGACACCTTCATGCCAAGGCACAGAGAATTAAATAAATTATATATACATACATACATACATATATATATATATAGAGAGAGAGAGAGAGAGAGAGAGAAGAGTATTTGCTAGCATAGCTGTCCTCTGAGAGACCCCACCCAGCAGCAGATCAAAACAGATGCTGAGACTCACATCAAAACATTAGGCGGAGCATGGGGAGCCTTTTGAAAGAGTTAGGGGAAAGGATAGAAGGATCTGGAGAGGACAAAAACCCCACAAGAAGACCAACAGAGTTAAATAACCTGGACCCAGGGGGCTTGTGGAGACTGAAGCACCAACCAAGGACCATGCATGACCTGGACCTTGACCCTCTACACATATGTTGCCAATGGTCAGTTTAGTCCTCCTGTGGGTTCCTTAGTAAGGGGATCAGGGCCTGCTTTTTTATTACAACTCCTGGCAGGGTTGCTTTGCCTGGCACTCAGTACTAATGTGACTTGATGTGCTGGAGTGGGTTGGGAGGGATCCCCTTTTCTGAGGAGTAGGGGAGGGGGAGTATGGGGAAGAGGGAGGAAGGGTGGGGCCAAGAGGAGAGGAAGGAGGGACTACGGTGGGATGTAAAGTGAATAAATAAAATAAAATAATAATTTAAAAGAAGAAAAGTATCTGTTCATCAGGGTGAACAGTGCGGCTTGCCATTCATTCTAGTCAAACTCTAGGCTATGAGCTGAGCCAGTGTTTGTCACAAAATTTCATGTGAATGACAAGATGGATATTCGGATTTCTTTTTAATTACAAAGTAAGTCTGCTGTATCAAGAAGAACTTTCAGTATTTGTTAATGATAAAATTCAAAGGTTTTAATGAAAAATTAGAAGTTGAGGCAATCTCTGTCAGATTCTCCTGAGCTGTAAAGCCTCTGGTACTTTAAAGACTTCTGTGATGAAGCCAGTGGTGATGTTCACAAATACAGTTTTAAATTATATAATGAAACCTATATATCATTCTATCCATGATGAAGCATTAGAAAAATCTGTATCACTCAATTAACTCTATGTTCCAGGTGAACAATGCAAGATATTACAAAAATCACCTATGGGTAAAAGAGCAATTAAAGTACAATCAGACCAATAGATTTAATGAATCAAAAGTTAGTTAGGTTCCAGGGATATGGCTCAGTGGTAGAGCACTTGCCCAACATGAGGAAGGCCTTAGGTTCAGACCCATAAAACATTCACACAAAAATTTTGGAAAGCATGGTGTTGCATACTTATAATACCAGTGCCTAGCAGGCAGATGCAGGAAGACCTGCGTCTGGATTCAAGAGCAGCCTGGGCTACATAGAGAAATCCCTCCTGGCCTCAGATACATGGTAATGTCTCAAAAAGGAAAAAAATATTGATTGGACCGATATAAGTATTGATTTATATTTTTCAAAACCCTCACCTTTGAGGGCTCAAAAGAAGACTCATGGGTTAAAAGTACTTGCTGTTCTTACAAAGGATCAAGATTCAGTTCCCAGAACCCACATATCAGCTCACAACCACCTGTAACTCCCAATTCCAAGGGGCCTGACGTGCTCCAAGAGCACCCGGCACACTTGGGGGTGCATACATACATATATACACCCACTTACATACATACATACATACATACATACATACATACATACATACATACATACATACAT